GAGCCCCACCGAAAGCTCCACTGGCTGCGTTCGCATGGTGGCCTCGGGCCATTTCGGCACACCCAGTACAGCACTTCGTGGCCCCATAGGGAGCTCCACAGAAGGCTCCAGTGGCTGCGTTCGCATGGCGGCCTCGGGCCATTTCGGCACACCCCTCACGAGGATCGTGGCCCAGGGAGCTTCACCGAAGGCCCACTTGGCAGCGTTCGCATGGCGGCCTCGGGCCATTTCGGCACACCCCTCACGAGGATCGTGGCCTCCACCGAAGGCGCCAGTGGCAGGGTTCGAGGGGCGGCCTTGGGCCATTTCGGCACACCCCTCACGAAGATCGTGGCCCCATACGGAGCTCCAACGAAGGCGCCAGTGGCTGCGTTCGCATGGCGGCTCGGGCCATTTCGCCACACCCCTCACGAGGATCGTGACCCCATAGGAGCTCCACCGAAGGCTCCAGTGGCTGCGTTCGCATGGCGGACTCGGGTCGGGCCATTTCGGCACACCCCTCACGAGGATCGTGGCCCCATAGGAGCTCCACCGAAGGCCCCAGTGGCAGCCTCCCTCATGGCTCTTAGAGCCTTCTCCTGCTTCTGCTCCTCGGTCAGGGGGGCGCCGTCCTCGTCGTCGTCGGCGCCCGCGAAGACGGCCACGAACGTGTCCCTGAGCATGTCGGGCTCCGGCGGGAAGTTGTGGCCACATCGGGAGCGCGGGCGAAGATGTTATTCACAATTGCGGTAGTCACAACTGCGTATGGTTGGGTTTTTCGCCAAGGTAATTCCATGTGAAAACACAGGTTTGTTCCGTTTTTTTTGTTTCTTTTTCTTTTTTCGGGCCCCCCCTTGAGCGGCGGGGAAACCCCGAAGGGCCGAACGCAAGAGCGAAAAACAAGAAACAAAAATCAACTAATAACAAACCTGTGTTTTCACAGGGAAGAAGAGGAACAACAACTCCGCCTCCGAGGGCGGGGAGGAGGAAACAGCATCAAAAAAAACCCTCCTCCGTCTCCTCCGCCTAGTCGACTCCTTGACTCAACGTTCCCGCTTGTTTTCTGCCGAATTCCGTTCCTCTTTCTCTCGTTATCTCTCCTCTTTTCTCCTCCCCCCCTCTCTCTCTTGATTCTCTCTCTCTATATCCTCCTCCCTCGCTTGACTCTCTCTCTCTCTCTCCTCTCCTCTCCCTTCCTCTCTCTCTCCTCCTCCCTCTCCTCCTCCCTCTGTCTCTCTCCTCCCCCTCTTGACATTCTCTCTCTCTCTCTCTCTCTCCTCCTCTCCTCTCCTCCCATTATATGTACCCCGCCCCGCCACAGAAGGGATCGATATGTAAATCCGCTTCCCCCGTGTCCACCTCCGCCTCCTACTCTTCCTCCTCCTCCTCCTCATCTTTCTCGTGCTATTCCACACAAGGAAACCATGTGGAGGCCCCTCCACATAAGGGATCGATATGCGAAGGGCCTCCCACATAAGGAATCAATGTGTACAGGCTCCTTCACATAAGGAACTCATATATGAAGGCCCGCCCCACATAAGGATTCAGCATGTTGGAGGCCCCTCCACACAAGATATCAATATGGAGACCCCTTGCACATGCGGAGTCAATATGCGGCGGTCCCTCCACTGACAAACTCAATCTGTGGAGGCCTCCCCACATAACGAATCGATTTTCGAAGGCCCATCCACATAAGAAATCCATGTGGACACCCCTTTGACCTAAGAGATGAATGTGTGGGAGTCCTTCCACAGACGAAATCAACATGTGGAGGTCCCTTCCACATAAGGAATCAATGTGTGGAGGGCTCCCCCCCCACAAGAGGAATCAATATGCGCGAGGCCCCTTGCACACTAGGAAAACATATGGGGGAGGTCCCTCCACAAAAGGAATCAACATCATCTGTCTCCTCATCTTTCTCCTCCTACTCTTTCTGCTCCTTCTTATCCTCAACCCCTGCGCCAGAGCGGGAGGAGGAGGGGGGAGGAGCAGGAGGAGGAGGAGGAACAGGAAATCGCCCGCCGCAAAAGAACTCAATTGGTGGAGGTCCCTCCGCAGACGGAATCAACATGTGGAGGCCCCTCAACTTAAGGAATCGATAATTTGAAGGCCCATCCACATAAGGAATACATATGTGCAGACCCCTTCCATCATACGGAATCAACAAGTGGGAGGACCCTCCACAAAAGAAATCAATGTGGAGACCCCTTGCACATAGGGAATCAAAATGTGGAGGTCCCTCCACAGACGGAATGAACATGTGGAGGTCCCTTCCACATAAGGAATCAATATGTGGAGGATCCCCCACAAAAGGAAACAATATCACCTTTCTCCTCCTCATCTTTCTCCTCCTACTCCTTCTGATCCTTCTTCTCCTCAACCCCTGCGCCAGAGTGAGAGAAGGAGGGGGAGGACGAGCAGAAGGAGGAGGAGGAAAAGGAAATTGCCCGCCACAGAACGAATCAATATGTGGAGGTCCCTCCACAGACGGAATCAATGTGTGGAGGCCCCTCCACATAAGGAATCGATATTAAAAGGCCCATCCACATAAGGAATCCATATGTGCAGGCCCTTTCACATAAGGAATCATTATGTGAAGGCCCCTTCCACATAAGGAGTGAACAAGTTGGAGGCCCCTCCACATAAGAAATCAATATGGAGATCCTTGCTCATAAGGAATCAACATGTGGAGGTCCCTCCACAGACGGAATCAACATGTGGAGATCCCTTCCACATAAGGAAACAATATGTGGAGGATCCCCCACAAGAGGAATCAGGCCCTTTCCACATAAGGATTTTCAACGAGTGGGAGGCCCCTCCACACAAGATATCATTATGGAGGCCCCTTGCACATATGGAATCATTCTGTGGAGGTCCCTACACAAATGGAATGAATATGTGGAGGCCCCTACACATAAGGAATCGATGTTTGAAGGCCCTTGGAACGACGAACATATGCAGAGAAGTCGGATCAGCGATAAACTAGTAGAAGGAACGACAATGATAATGAAGAGTAGGAGGGGCAAACAAGATCAGAATGAGCGAGGGTGGTAAGGAAGCTTGCGAAGGGGAAGAAGATGACGAGGCCCTGCAACGGAGACGGGTGGGAGGAAGGAGGAGGGACGAGGGGTGAGGGAGGAGGGAGGATCGGGAGGATAACGAACGTAATCAAAAGGATAAGGAACGAATCATATAAAGAAATGCAGCGGGAAGGAACGACACCGATGCGGACGGAGAGTGGGCAGCATACGAGGAGGAGGGCTGACAAAGACAGAAGTGGGAAGTATCGAAGACAAGGGAAATGGTATGATACCAGGGGGGGGCGAGCACATACACACACACACACATATATATATATATATATATATATATAAAAAAAGGTCCCAGCACGCACCATGAACCCCCCTTTTCCCTTGGAAGATGCCAAGAGAAAAGGGGAACGGAAGGCGCGCGCTGCAACCGTAAAGGGAGAAGTGTGGCAGAAAGGTTGGTTGTGTGATGGAGAAGACAGGTGTGGAGTATCGGGTGGAGTGTTGGGGGCGGAGGGTGTGGAGTACCGGATGGTGTGTAGGAGACGGAGGGAGTGGAATACAAGGTTATTTTCAAGCTGAGCTTGGGGAGGGAGCCTGTTGAGTATTGGGTGGTCTGTGTTGGAGACGGAGGGTGTGGAGTACTGGATGGTGTGTTGGAGACGGAGGGAGTTGAGTAGAAGGTTATTTTCAAGTTCAGCTTGGGGAGGGAGCCTGTTGAGTATCGGGTTGTGCGTTGGAGACGAAGGGTGTTGAGTAGAAGGTTATTTTCAAGTTCAGCTTTGGGAGGGAGCCTGTGGAGTATCGGGTGGTGTGTTGGAGACGGAGGGTGTTGAGTACTGGATGGTGTGTTGGAGACGGAGGGAGTTTAGTAGAAGGGTATTTTCAAGTTCAGCTTGGGGAGGGAGGCCGTTGAGTATCGGGTGGTGTGTTGGAGACGGAGGGAGTTGAGTATTGGATGGTGTGTAGGAGACGGAGGGAGTTGAGTAGAAGGGTATTTTCAAGTTCAGCTTGGGGAGGGAGGCCGTTGAGTATCGGGTGGTGTGTTGGAGACGGAGGGAGTTGAGTATTGGATGGTGTGTAGGAGACGGAGGGAGTTGAGTAGAAGGTTATTTTGAAGTTCAGCTTGGGGAGGGAGCCTCTTGAGGATTGGATGGTGTGTTGGAGACGGAGGGTGGTGAGTACTGGATGGTGTGTTGGAGACGGAGGGAGTTTAGCAGAAGGTTTTTTCAAGTTCAGCTTGGGGAGGGAGCCGGTTCAGTACTGGATGGTGTGTTGGAGACGGAGGGAGTTGAGTAGAAGGTTATTTTCAAGTTCAGCTTGGGGAGGGAGCCTGTTGAGTATCGGGTGGTCTGTGTTGGAGACGGAGGGTGTTGAGTACTGGATGGTGTGTTGGAGACGGAGGGAGTTGAGTAGAAGGTTAGTGTCAAGTTCAAAATGAGTTGAGAAAGTCTTTCAAACATGAGCCTCAACATGAAGTCCGAGAATCGTAGGAATCATATATGAGTTCATATACAATCTGGAGAAAGGGGGGGTCTTGGTGCATGCGGAGGGCTATATATTCATATACGTATGCATGCGTACATACGTCTTATATGCGAATGCTCAAATGAAGACGTAAGCACACACACAAACACACACACATAAGGTATATCTCAAGTTTCCTTGGACCTAGGTGTGTGCGTGTACATACATATATACGCATATACAACATGTGTTGATATTCTAGCTGGGTGTATGTATACATGTGTATGTATCTCTGCTTTGTTTTGCTAGTGGAAGGAGCCACGGACGTTGAAGCAGTGAAGGAGAGATGGAGGGAGGGAGCGAGGACAACGGAGGGGAGCGGGGGGGGGAGGGATGCAGGGAAAGCAGCACGGAGGGGAGGGAGGAGGGGGAGGCATCGAGAACGGAGGGCCGGAGCGACGGAGGAAGAGCATGGGCGGAGAGGCTCGGGGCGGAGCGCCTGCGGCCTCCCGCGCCGCGCGGGAGGCCGCACCCACGGACTACCGCCAGCTCCAGGCCGAGCAGAATGCCCGGGCCATGGCGGCCACCCCTGCGCTCTTCTCTGGACGCCGGGGCCAGCGTCGCCTGGCGCTCTCCGCTGCCTCGGGGGTGGCCACGACCCTCCGATCCTGGCGTCTCCATTTGTTTCGAGCCGGGCGTGTCTGCTTTTGCTTCGGGCCCTGGGGCCCCCGCAGGTCGATCCGGCGCGAGGAGCGACTCAGAGTGAGGGCGTCTGGGGCTCCAGGCGTGGTTGTTTACGAGGTTGCTTGCAATTTTTGTCGCTGCGTCGGATCCCAGGGGCGTGGGATAACGACCAGGGGGTCTTGGCATCGCTCGGACGTGTGCATTGTTCTTTCGGCGAGGACCATCGAGGAGCATCCTTGATCATTTGGCGAAAGAGCCACGCACGAAACCGAACAAAGGCACAGGGAATGGACGTCCGAGCGATGGCCAGGGGTGGGGGGGGACATCCCCGCGGGGGCCAGGATGCCTGCCCAGGCTGCATGGCTCCCTCTCCCTCTGTCAGCACGGTCCTTGGCCCCCCCCTCGGTCCGGGTTCCATGCCTCGGGCAAGCATGCGCACCCCTTTTTGTTTCTCCCCAGGCCCCCTCTTCGGCGGACCCGGCGTTCTTCCCTTCCCTTTTCCCCCTTCCCGCCCCGCCCAGGCAGATGGAAGGAAGAGGAGGAGGAGGAGGAGGAGGAGGACGGCCGTCACATGTGACACCTGTTCGTCTGCACTACTCGGGGATCTCCGGGAGAACTCGTTTGGGCCGTCTTGGAGTTTTTGCTTGGCCTCCCGTGAGGCAGTCGTGGAGGTCCTTTGGGGCCCTGCTGGGCCTCTTGGGGTCCCTCTTTCGCCGTCTTGGGGCACTCTTGGGCAGTCTTGGGGCCCTCTTGGCTCTATGGTGGGTGTCTGGCGGCCGTCTTGGCGCCGTCTTGGGTCGTCGAATGGCCTTCGAAGGCCCCCTTGGCTCCCTCGGGAGGCCCTCTTGGGCCGTCTTTCGGAGCCATCTTGGGTGCCTCTGGGGCCATCGTGGGGTCCTCTTGGGCCATCCTGGGGCCCTCATGGGGGCCTCTTTGGGCCGTCTCAGGGCCATCGTGGTGGCTTCTTGGGCCGGCCTGGGCTGACGGAAACCCGAAAAGGCGAGAATGCGAACATCATTCGAGCACCCAAGGACACTTACATTGGCTCTGGCCTCTTCGGATCCCAATAGAGGTCCTCTTGTGAACCTTTCGGTCCCTCTTGTAGGTATCTTGGGCCGTCTTGAGACCAGATTCGGCCGCGCTGGTGCCATCTTGGGCCGTGGTCGAGGCATCGTGGGCCCTCTTTCTGCCCTTGGTTGCCTGTGTGGGCCGTCTTGGAAACTCGGGACGCGGATTCGTTAGTTTTAACGAGTGGTCGTGGCCTCGTGAGCGCGTTTTTTTTGTTCTACGAGTGATCATGGCCTCGGGGGGGGGGGCGATGCACGCACCACCAGTCCGCCAGTAGAGGGCGGAGGGGGGGGCCCCTGGATGTCAGAATTCAGAAACCCGACCAGACAGCACTTGGCATTGTGATCATTTTTCTTATTCCTTGTTTTGCCGATCGGCACTCCATGGAGTAGATCTTGGCTGTTTTTTGGCGCCTGTTTCGAGCGGGTGAGGTCTCCCACCATAGGATGCATTGCTGCAAACAGTCGCACGAAGCAGAGGTCCAGAGCCAGACCCCCCCCCCCTCCCCCCCCTCTTCGCTCAATGTCGAAACGCCGAATCGGAAAACGCTCACATTCTACCACGACTCAGCGTGCCAGGGGGCACGGCTGCGCACGGCTGCGGATCGAGGACGCCTACGGCGAACCACGAACCACCGCCGCCCCCCCTTGCTGTTCGGAAGCACCCATGCGGCCACACGTCGGGCCGAAGCCTGGCGACGCTACTGGGCTCCTGTGTCCCCCCAGACGGTGTGGAACCCCTTGGGGGGACACGTTGGAAGAAGCAGGACGGGGAGGAGGGGGAGGACACGCGTAGGCCCCAGACGCAGCAACTCTCTCCAAACTTTTCATGGCGGGAAGTGCTCAAGTGGAAGGTAACCGTCTGAGAACCATCAGTCGTGTCAACAACATCGTCCTTGGGACTTCAACGCCGCGAATCAACGCGACTGTTGCGACTTGACAGTCCGGAATCGTGCCAGAGCACCAGTTCTGGGATTGCAGTCATACGAACTAGAGCTGTGGCACACTTTGAAGACGAATGCGAGCGGGGCGAATGCGAGAACAGCATTTGGATCAAAAGGATCCGCTCTCCATCCTACTTGTTGCAAGCTCTTCAATCGAATGCTCGCGGCGCTAAGGCGAGACCGCATTTTGAACATGGCCCGCCATCCATCTTTGAAGCTCTTGCAACCTTACAGCTTCAGGGATCTACATTGTGAGGACGTAGCGCTCGGCCCGCCCTGCCGACACGTCTCGGGTTGCGACAGGGACGATCTATGCATATGGAAATGGAGGAGATGGAGGAGGAAGAAGAGGAGCGAGCGGCCTCTACCCTCCTGGGGCTTCCCCAAGCCCTCTGGGAGCCTCTTCGTGGCCTCTGAGGGCCTTTGGGGGGCCTCCTGGAGCTTCTTGGGGCCCTCTTTGGGGCATGTTGGGGGCCTCTTTGGGGCCTCTTTGGGGCCTCTTGGGGGCCCCTTGGGGGCCCCTTGGGGGCCGCCAAGAGACCTTTTGGCCTTCCGAGGCCGTCTTGGGGCCCTCTCTGGGCAGTCGTAGGTCCCTCTTTGGGCTTCAGTGCCGTCTTGGAGGTCCATGCGGCCGTCTTGGAGCCATATTGGGGGCCGCCCTGGGGGCCGTTTGGGGGCCCTTCTGGGCCGTCCTGCGGGCGCCTTAGGAGCCTCTTGGGTCGTCTTGGGGCGATCTTTGGGGCCTATGGGGTCGTCGTCGAGTGTGGAAAGCCTGAGAAAGGCGAGAACGCTGGCATCACCAACAAAAAGTATCCCAGCGCGACCCTACCTAGGAGTTGGAGCCCCTAGGAAAGCAGCATAAGCTAAGCTAAGCTAAGTTAAGCTAAGATAGCTAAGCTAAGCTAAGCTAAGCTGAGATAAGCTAAGCTAAGCTAAGCTAGGCTAGGCTAAGCTAAGCTAAGCTAAGCTGAGATAAGCTAAGCTAAGCTAGGCTAGGCTAAGCTAAGCTACTATGCGATACGCTAAGTTAAGCTAGGCTAAGCCAAGCTACGCTAAGCTAAGCTAAGCTAGGCTAGGCTAGGCTAAGCTAAACTAAGCTAAGCTAAACTAAGCTAAGCTTAGCTTAACTAAGCTGAGATGATATAAGCAAAGTTTAGCTAAGATAAGCTGGGCTAAGCTAAGCTAAGGCCAGCTAAGGTAAGGTAAGTTAAGCTAGGCTAGACTAAGCTAAGCTAAGACGATATAAGCAATGCTAAGCTAAGCTAAGCTAAGCTAAGCTAAGCTAAGCTAAGTTCAGGTAAGTTAAGCTAAGCTAAGCTAAGCTAAGCTGAGCTAAGCTGAGCTAGGGGAACCCAGGGGGCGCGACTGGGGGAACCGCGGGGCGGGGACTGGGGGAACCGCCCGGGGCGCTTTCCACTGCCCGGCCCCTTTAAGCTAGAGAGTAAGAACCCTTCTAGGCAGAGGCTAGGTAGGAAACAAAGGGGGATCCATGATTTTGACCTCCTGGAGGTTCTCGAGGAGCCCTCTTGGAGCGTCTTGGAGGCCTCCATTGGGCCGTCTTGGAGGCATCCTGGGGCCGTCTTGGGCTCTTTTGGGGCCATATTGGCCGTCTTGGAGGCTTCTTGGGACCGTCAGCGGCGGCACCCCAACATACCTATACGATATGTGCCTCCCCCCAGGGGCGACGCGCGCACCGATAAATCGTATAGTTTATGCGTCGTGGCGGGCGCTTTCTGACCACACCGCTCAGGAAAAGATGTACGACCAGATGTGTATACTATATGTTCGGGTCGGGCGCGCGCCTCCAAGGAGGACAAGGATGACATATGGTACTAGTATGTCTCTGTGCCTCCCACGTCAGGCCGTCTTGGAGACCATCTTGGGCCTGGAAACCCCCGAACAATGGCTGGACGTTTCAGCCGTCTGTGGGAAGGTCGACACCCCACCACGGGCAAGCCGTTTTGACCAAAGCCGAACTTTATCGCCCAGGGACGGCCTGGGGTAGGGGAAGCTTTCAACGTCGCCGTGGTGCGTGCCTCGCAGCTGCGGAGATCAGGCTAGCATAATCCAGTATAATCCACCTTGGGCCTCTCGGAGCGATCCCGGGGCCACCTTGGAGGCGAGCGAGGCGACGCGGGGGACCTCTTCTTCCCAGCGGGGCCGGCGCGAGCGGCGGAGGCCCCGTTGGTAGCATTTTTCGAAAGGACTGGACATCCCGTGGCTCCTCCTCATGCTCCTCCTCCTCCTCCTCCTGCTCCTCCTCCTCCTGCTCCTCCTCCTCCTCCTCCTCCTGCTCCTCCTCCTGCTCCTCCTCCTCCTCCTGCTCCTCCTCCTCCTCCTCCTGCTCCTCCTCCGTCTCCTCCTCCTCCTCCTCCTCCTCCTCCCCCTTTTTCCCTCCTCCTCCTCCTCCTCCTCCTCCTCCTCCTCCTCCTCCTGGTGTTCTGGTGTCAGCGGGCGAAGGATGGTATCACATAAACTTTCCCGTCGCCGGGGGTGCTGCCCAAGGCCAGCCGGGAAGTTTCTGCCTCGACGCGCCACCGTAAGGGTGTCAACTTTCCAGCCGCCCTGGGGCAGGCGCCCCCAACAGCGAACAAAACTTCTGTTGTACCTCTCTTCGCCCGTCCAGCACCATACCCGAGTCGTCGAGCAGTGGCCTCTGAGAAGCCTCTTGGGGCCGACCCCGCCAGCTTCGCCTCATGCGCCCCCCGCCCTCTGCGGGAGCCTCGTCGCCGCAAGACGTGCTCGTCGGCCCGAAGTCGCTCTCACGGGACACGCTTGGTGCCGTCTTCGCCCCCGAAACGGCCCTCGCCCTTCGCGAGCCGGCCGCGAATTCTCGGACGTCCGCGCTGATGCACTTCAGCTTGAATGCCCGCGCCCTCGCGCA